GTTTGATCTATTAATCAACTTAATAACGTACTATTAATATGAAGATTTATTTTGGTTGTTTGTTTGTTAAAATTTAGTTAGAGTTTATTAAGAATTTAAATTCTTTAGTTAATCAAGAGAGATCTAATCGCCTATAATTAATAGCCTATGAATATTAATGCGCATAGTTACGCATTGTTACGCCTATTGTTCGTTTTGTTAATTACGGTTCTGCATTATGTAAAATATACTATTTCTTTGCCTCTAGAATTTTCTAAGCGCAGTTATATATTCCATGCGGTCATTCGAGTAAAATCAGCAATCAAATTGGAGCTGATACATTTATTTTCAAGAAGAATTAATGTTGTTTGTTTTTTAAAATAAAAATTTAAATAATTGTTAGTTTGCTATGTATATATATATGTATATCTATATGTATTTTCTCTTAGCAAAAATAATTGAGAGTAGAAAAATAAAAAAAATTTCTTCTGGAATTTGTCAAAAGGGTGTTGTGTTATTCTTCATTTTAAGGTATCTAAATATGTATTTATTTTTCATTTTTTAGATTAAGTTAGAACTAAATTGACTGGTAAAATAGTTTATTTAGTACAACATTTTATTAAATAGTTTATTTAGTACAACATTTTAAGCAGTATTTGTTTTATTTTTTAGAGCAGTTTTAGAGAAGCTGATCGCTTTTTTAGTAAGTTCAAGTTATTTTCTCATACATAAATTAAGGTTTTCGATTTATTTCAGTCTATTTTATATTTCTCTATATCTACATATATATATTCTCTAAGGAAAAATAATAAGGAATAAAAAAATTAAGAAAATTTCTTCTGGAATTTGTCAAAAGTGTGTTGTGTTATGCTACATTTTAAGGTATCTAAATATGTATTTATTAGAAATTTTTTTAAACCAAGTTTAAAAAAGTTGTTAAACCAAGAAAATTGTAGAGGTTTATTTATCAATATATACTATAAATTATATAATAATATTGGAGGGATTAAGTTAAAAAGCATTTTTAAATTTTTAAAAAGAAATAAAAATACTTTTCAATATATATCTGTTTTTTTTTGAGGTAGATTTAAAGTTTCAGGTTTTCAAAATTGTAGATCTTTTTAATGTATAAATAGACATTAAGTATTTCTAAGTAGACATTACGTATATATAAAATCTTTTAAAATTTAATAAGTAATTATTTGTTTAAATAAGTAGTTAATTGTTATAATTTATTAAGATTTAAATTATTAGAAAATTCATGTTTACAGAGTTGTTATTAATCATTATCGAGTTGTTGAACCAAAGAAATTGTAGAGGTTTATTTATCAAATATATACTATATATATTGTAAAAAAAATTTTGGTTTTCATATGTTTTCACTAATAAATAGTTCTGTATATATATATATATATATATATATATATATATATATATATATATATATATATATATATATATATATATATATATATATATATATATATATATATATATATATATATATAACTATATATATATATATAACTATATATAACTATATATAACTATATATATCCTTGGAGTTGTGACATTTAATTTGTTTAAATAGAGTAGTTTTAGTAAATAAATGTTTGTTTGTTCTTGGTTTTTTACTTATTTGTTATCAGATTCTTAAGAATTAATCAACTTAGCAAGCAAGATTTATTTTATTTTCTAGTGCAATTGGAAAGAGCTAAAGTGCTTTTTAGTTACTTCAAATCATTTGTTTTTATTTTTTAAATAGAAGGGTTAATAATAAAAATATTTAGACAGTCGAACTGTTACTGATTTGAGTAAGTTTAATTTTTTGTTTAATTTTATATTAGATATATATTTTATGTATTTAACATGAAAAACTGACTGTAATTTTTGACAGGTAAGTTTATATACTTAAATGTGCCTATATATCGGAATATTTTATATTTCTCTGAATCTATATGAATATTATCTCAGAAAAAATTAAGAATAGAAAAAATTTGAATATATATACATACATATATATTACTTTAGACTGACATTGCTTCATTTTTTATACAAGATTCTGCATTTATTATTTTTGTGCATTAAGATTGTGCCTGAAGGCTTTCTTAATTTAGCAAAGAATTTAGAACACAATGCAAATAACTTTGCACTGTGTTCTAAATTCTTTGCTAAATTAAAATAATGTAAATAAATTTTGTTTTATATTTTTCAGTTGTAAAAATATAAAACGTTCATTTATTCAGTTGTAACAGTAGCATAACCACTGGTAATATATATTTAATGATAACAGATTTATAATATTAGGCTCGAAGAAGTTATTAGTGTAAATGGTTATAGGTGACTTGAAATTGTTGTCATATGAAAGAAATAGATCTAGGCATGATAAAATTAATTGTCGCTGAAATATAAGAAATTTTGCTTGATGAACCAAAAACTTACTTGGCTTCAGTGTCAAGCGCTGTTGATGTCTATTATTTGACTTTACATTAGACACTTTAAAATAAAGCAAAGTATGAATTTTACTATTTATAGTAACAAATAATAAAAATTTCAGTTTTAAATGATTTTTTTTTTTTTTTTTTTTTTTTTTTTTTTTTTTTTTTTTTTTTTTTTTTTTTACTTTTGTAATCTTAATATAATTGTTCATTTTTTTTTTAGTTGTCTTTGTCATCACTTGATTATTTTGCTTACTGTTGAAACATGGTTTTAATTTTGTAAATTTAATATGATGTGAAATTTACAATATTAATCATTTGTCAACAGTTAGAAGCTGGAAATAAATTAAGAAATGCTGGAAATTAACTTTTAGTTAATGTAAAAATAATTTTGTTTATTGGTAGCATAATAAAACCAGTTACTGTTATTTATTGCATGACTTTTTTACTTTTTCTAATGTGTTGTTTTTAAAACACTTCCTCTCTCTCTTAGATGAGACTTAAATAAGAATTAGTAAAGAGAGAGAATAGATTAAACTCATGTAATTACTGAGCTCTTGCGTATTTTTTAATACTGCATTTGATAATTTGCTATTTAAAGATATAATTCTTAAAATTGTCCCTTGGTTGTTATTGGTTATTGTAATAAATAAAATCTTTTTAGTTTCAAGTATTTTATTTTAGGGATCGTCTATATATTACGTAACGCGAAATTAAAAATATAGACAAAAGAAATATCTCAAAAACCGTGTTTCTCTCATGGTCAACTATATGTTGCATTTTCAAGAACTAGAGCATTTAATAGTTTGTTTTTCAAATTGATAAACAACTTATTCAAGTTAGAGTAGATAAAAAATGTAACATAAATATTGTTATTTTTTTTAATGTTCTTAATTTATAGTCTTGAGATTTTCATTTCGAAAATTTACTGTTAAAGGTTGTGAGCACATTTTGTATATATAACTTTATTTATCATTATTTATTTTTTTTCATATTTTTTGATAAATATATCTATCATTCAATAGTTGTAAAATGTGTTTATATGTGTTATAAAGTCATATTTGTTTACAGTTGTATATATGTTTAAACTATAAAAGCCAAGACAACAATTTATATCTTAGTTTGATTTTTTTTTTAGTATTGTTAATGCTTTTGTACTTCAAAACAGATTTTATAATTACATTTTCGATAAATCTTTAACTGCGATTTTAAAATAGGTTACTATAAATAGGTAAATCGATTTTCGGTAATTGTGTAGTGGTTTTTGTTTTTGTTCTTTTTTGAAATTATGATATCATAATTTCATTCCTTTTTTTTTAGAATTACGTTATGACACATAAAATTTATAAAATAAAAAAACCTGATTTCTTTTTATTGTAAATTTTTCTTAGTTAAAAAGATATAAATATATGCTATTAGTTAATTTTATATTTTATCTATTTTATGCCTAATAATTTGTTGTACGTATTTTAAGGGGATCTTTGTAAATGGGGGGGGGTTGTAATTAAAAACATGGAGAATATTGTAGTTTTGCGCATTAATATCGAGTTACTCAAGTTTTATTTATGTGTTTAACTAATTAGTTAGCTTAGTCTGTATTTGCAACACTTTTGAGGAAAGAAAGAAAACATTCTTATATATGTAGATCATTATCTTACATTTTATTATTTTATTCACCTGGTCACCATTAAAGCAAAAAGAGGGGAGGAACTTCTTTATTAGAGTCAAAATATTTAAGAAAATTAAATTTCGAGTTACAAAAGGAATTTTTAGTAAACGGTATTCTGCCAATACCGTTTTCTAAAAATTAATGAAATAAAGAGGCCAAACAAATAATATAGAAATGGTCTGTGTTGAACAGACTTAACAAGACCCGGGTCGGGTCAGCTTGGTTTACAAATTCTTATGTCTACTTATCTGTTATAATTTTTATTTTAGGTTTGTCATATGATGCATTAATGCATTAAGTTTACATATTTTTTCAAATTTATTATACCCATGTTTGTCATTAAACATTTTTAAGTTAACAATTTTCTTTTTTAAAGAAAAATTAATCAAGGGGATACCAAAAAATTGATAACTCCTGTATAATATAATTTATTCTTTTTAACTTTATTTTAATCTTAATGGTTCGTGTTATAAAAATTTTTACAAGGATTTCGTTGGTACTTTCGTCAATTTAAAGCATGACGAAGTGTTATTATTTTGTGTCAGTAACTAAAAACGTATTTTGTTAAACTTAGGAAGGTCGATGAAAATGGTTCTGCCTTACACTGTTATGAACTATGCCATTTGTTAATTACTTAAATAATGTTAAGTAGTAATAGTAAATGTTAAGTAGTAGTTTGCTAATTATTTCACCTCCTCATACTTTTTATGTTAATTTTACAGATGGATTAACTTTTTCAAGCTGAAGGCGATTTTCTAAAAGGGTATAAGTTAAGGTTTTGCAACATTAAATTGTGGAAAACAGCCACTAAATTAATTATGTAACAGACCGACCAAAACCCGTATTACGGGTTGCTTTTTGCTAGTACACTATAAATAAAACATTATATTACAAAAGCTAAAAAAATTATATACCACTGTCATCTAGAAAAAAAGTCACATGAGATATGTTTATGAAAGCACTATTTAAAACAATTTGTTTTGTTGCTTCTTTTACCTAAAATATCAAGAAAAATGTTTTAACATGATGAATATTACACGCTTATTAAAACAATTTATATATTAAAAAAATTTATTACATGAATATTAACGAAAAAATGTTATTAATTCATTTAAATTAATCTATAATATTTTTTAAAATAACTTATCTTTAGTTTTAAAATAGACTAATGAAAAAATAAATAACTAACTAAAATTTTTTTTTTTTACTCATACTTTTTTACAGCTCAAAATATTTATTTCTTTTATTTCAAACAAATCATAAGCAAAAGTTTAAAATTTTATTTTAAATAATCTGAATTTTTAATCTGAAACTTTATTAAAATTTGTTGAAACTAATCTGAATCTTTTTTAAATATAAATGTTTTAAGTTTACTTAAAAATAATTAAAACTGGATAAATTCCAAAAATTTATGTTGCAATTGCAATCTTACTAATTTTTTAAAACACACTAACTTAAATTTTATTTAGTTAATATGATGACATAATCATATAACAGAAAATACAAATATGAGTGAAATACAAACAACTATTTTAATAAAACAACAATTAGCAATAACTTTTGGTCAAAACTTTAAAACTTAGTGTATTATTGCAGCAATTCTGTCCAATGTTGATTGGTCAGCTGAGAATGGTATTTTGATTTTATAAATTTTTGATCTCACTTTTAACGAATACTTCTTCTACAGAAGTATTTTAAATCTTTCGTTTCTCTTTGGGTTTTAATGCCTGATGTTGAAGATATAAAAATAATAAATAGATACAATACTGTAGCAAAATTGAAAAAAATCAAATAAAACCAGAATTACAGCTTTTACAGTTTATGAAAATATTAAATAACTCAATGTTAGGTTATAGTTCACTGGATTAACTAAAAAAATCACCCTAACCTAGAATAAAATACTATAAAGCTAAAACTTTGCACAAGTGAACATAAGCATGATACTTAACCAAAAAAAAAGCCCCATCAATCAGAGCATCGGAAGGTGTACTTTTAGTCCTAATTAAAAAGGGGTAATAATTTTTATGGTCAAATTTTTTCAATAACATACTTTTCATATATTGTTGGAAAGATAACTTAATGCTGATTCATAATTGTATAAGAATTATGGGTTAAAGATGAAAAATTAATAAGATATGCTTATTATTTTAAGGAAACATTAATTCAATAAATTCTACAGTACCCATGGGCATTAAAACAATTGATATTACATGGTAGTTAATCATTCATATTGTAAAGTTTTATATTTTTATTAAACATTTTAGTAAACAATTTCAAGTAATAAACAAAAATTATATGATTGTTTTAATATTTTATGTTAAAGGTGTAAAAAGTGTCTTGCCTAATTTTTTGAAAATCTCTTATAATAAAGATAAATGGGTCATTCCATGCCAAGTGAACTAGGGTCCAACATGGACCCCTTCAGATTTTGATGAAACTTGGTGAGTTGGTTTATATCAATAAGAAAAGCAATAAAAGTATAGGTATTAATGTACTTTAGTTTTCATTATCTACTGCGATGCAAAAAATATATATTTATAAAAGTATATCATAATCATTACTTGGAATAAGCTATAAACTAAGACTGAATTAAACTCAGTTATAGAATAGCCTTAATTGCTTCCTCTCCCCCTGTCCATTTACTTTTTAACATGCATATTTTTGCACAGAACCTTAATCTTAAAAAGAAATTTGTTATTGAAGGTTTCACTAATTTTTTTCAAATGTGTGAAGTGTCTTTATGCACAAAACAAGAATTGAACATACACATTTAAAAGATGTGAAATTATAAACAAGTTATGTGTGTACTTTTTTATCTTTATTTTATATATAAAATTTATCATTTTGTATTTAATTATTATTTCAAAACTCATGGAAACTTTACACTTCAAAAATTGAAACTAAATAAATTCTTTTAGAAAATGATTTAAAATAAATGGCTAGTGCATCTTTAGATCTAACTCAATGTTGCATTAGAAAAACATTAAACAAAGATTGTCATGAAGGAAAATTTACCAAATTCAAGGAAATTAAATGTTTTGAGGAATCAAACAAAAAAGATCAAGTACTTGTGCACTTACGATGTAAAGTTAATCATATAAAAACTATTTGTTATCATGAAAAGATCTTCTTGAATAGATTTGAGTTTTCGTACAACGGAAGCTTTTGTTGTGATCCATTCAAAAAACTCAAAAGTAAAATAAAAAATATTTAAAAATAACTTGAATTAATCAATTATTTCATAGATAAAGGCTTATTAAATGTTTAATCATTTTGTTTCTTTTTAGAATCTGTCAGAGTAATCAGTGTTGCTTTTGCAAAGGAATACGATTTAATACCTGGTCATAAGCTTTGTACAGAATGTCGTAAAATATTGTATTTAAAAAATAACAAAAAAGATTATGAAAGCGATTCATTTAAAAACAAAGACAATGATTTTAATGAGAATCGTGTTTCAAAAGAAAACTTTAATTTAAGCATTAATAGCCTTGGTTGTTCACCTCTAAAACTAGTAGCCCATAAAGACAGGATCAGCTATGCAAAAAGAAAGATGAACAAGATCCATACTGCCACCAAAAAGAAAATAGCAACTGTTTTAGAAGTTCTCCTGATTTAATAAATGATGAACTAAAAACAAAAGAGCTATATTGTGACAGTAAACAAGACTTGGACTCACTAATGGATTTAATTAAAGCAAAGTTTGATATTTCTTCAAAATCAGAAAAACTTAAATTACTAACTTTGGTTCCTGAGAATTGGAACATTGACTATACACAAAACTATTTTTCTGCTTTCCAAAGAATGATAAAAACTGTAAGACATTTGAAACAAATGCATGGCATAATGGCAGAACCATCTAAAAAAGAGGGAAGACATATTAGTGAGAATGTAAAAAATCAAGTTCATGAGTTCTACCAATCAGATGAATACTCTCGAATGTGTCCAGGGAAAAAGCAGGATGTCTCAATCCAAGTCGATGGTAAAAGACAACATTTTCAAAAAAGACTATTACTTAATATAAAAGAACTTTATTTAGAGTTTGTTAAAATTTCCTTAAATGCAATATTGGATTTCCTAAGTTTTGCGAACTTAGGTCAAAATAGTTTATTCCTGATGGAGGTACTTCAGGTCTCCACTAATTATGCATTTACTGAGTATACCAGAATGCCAAACTTTTAGCATTAAAAATACCAGATAATTTAGACTATAAAAATATTTTGACATTAGTTGTATGTGACTTAACAAATCAAGACTGCATGCTGCACCGTTGTAATAATTGTCCAGATACTGACACACTTAAAGAGTATCTTACTACTATATTTGATAAACAAAGCATTGAAGAAATCACATTTAATCAGTGGCAAAAAGCTAAAAAAAAATGATATAGTTCCAGTAACTCTTCCAGTGAATGATTTTATTGAAAAAAGTTTATCAACAAATAGACCAAGAGACCATCACTATATAATATCACTATTAAGAGACCATCACTATATAGCCAAAAATCAAGCAGCATATTTGCAGAATCTAAAAATCACATTACCAAGTAATCATATTTTAATATTACTAGACTTTGCTGAAAATTACAGTTTTTTAATTCAAGATGCAGTACAAGGTTTCCATTGGAACAACAGCCAAGCAACATTGCATCCTTATATTATTTACTTTGGAAGAAAAAAAAGATAAAGTGTAAAAGTATTTTTATCATTTCAGAACATTAGCAACACAATACAAACTCAGTTCATTGTTTCATTCATGAAGAATTAAAACATTTAAAAGAGTTGATAACTTACTTCAACCATTGCATTTATTTCAGTTATGGTGCAAGTTCACAATACAAAAATAATAAAAACATATTTAACTTATGTCAACATGAACAAGATCATGAGGTATCTGCAGAATGGCATTTTTTACTAAATTGCATGAACAGAGTGCTTATGATGTGTTGGGGGCACTGTCAAAAGACTTTTAGCAGGGGCAAGTTTACAATCACTAACTGATCCTAACAATTCATCTGAGAAAATGTATCATTGGTGTAGACAAAATATTAAAAGAATACATTTTCAATACATTTCAAATGATGCAGTAGATTACATTGCATAAATTTTAAATTAGAAGAACACTAAGCTACTTGTTCAACAATTCCAGGAACAAGAAACCACCATTGTTTTATACCAAAATCATTAACAACTCTACAGATGAGACGGGTGTCATTCGACAATGTGTTTATTAATGTAAATATTTCAACAATGCAGCAGAACTATATGATTCCACTTGCCTCTCTTTCACCAGGAATTTATATAGTATGTGTTTATGATGAAAAATGGTTTTTAGGTAATATTGTGGAAATGTCTGAAAAAAATTAAGATATCCTTATAAAGTTCATGAAGCAGTCTATTTCCTCAAACACTTTTACTTGGCCACATAGAGAAGATATGTGCTGGGTTCCAATTACGCATGTTCTATGCAAAATTTCATCTTTAAAAGTGCAATTAGCAACTGGTAGAAGCTATGAATATATCTATATATTCACCTCATGAAAAAACTGAAATACTACATTTGTACAATAGTATATAGAATAACAAAATTATATAACAACATAGCAAAATTGTTATTAATTTGATTTATCCAAATTTTTTATCAAAGCAAACTTGAATGATTCAATTTTTATATTGATTTTTTATTAAATAATAATATATTACATAATATATATTACATAATAAACTTGTGTATTGTGATGACAAATCAAATAACTCTTATCACTTGGTATAATCTGTAACCTAAATTTAAACAATGATAATCAAATAAATTGGGAAGGGTGGAATAGCGAATATTTTGGGGAAAATTATTCAAAATTTATAGTCAGAATATGAAATAGTAAGAAAATAAGTGATATGAAAACAAATGAGTTAGGCAGATAATAAGAATAAAACTAAGTCTTTATTTTCATTATTTACCTAATTTGCAACTTTTATATGTCCTCTAATTACTATTTAACT